CCTGAGCAATCGCGAGTGCGATCGCTGTCTTTCCTGTAACATTATTTATCCTGAAGCAATACAAAGGCCGAGTAAGATCTTTGGTAATTCAGGTGAAGCGAATGTTATAGAAGTTCGGCCGTAAAATATAGACAGCTGACAAAGTAGACAATTCAACAAGTTCAGTTTCTGTGGTTTCGATGCAAACAATGGAAGTAAGAAAGCACATCAGACTGGTAAACACACCCGTTCCTGGTGGTCCTGCAAGAAGTAGTGCCCTTCCAGCCACATTTTTCATTTTGACCAAATCTACAAAGACACCTGCAGCAGTGCGTGCAAGAGTTTGCCCTACAAGTCCTCCCGCCTGCAAAAATTAAACTTTAACACACTCGATAATTAACTAACATTACTTCAACAACATCTACAAGTCTCACAATGTTCTACTAGTTTGAAACCCACGTTAGGAAGAGCTTCCCTGGTGACGGGATCAAGTCCCAGACCTTTCACATGGCTATGTGCAGCGACACGGGCTTGTCGCACTGTATGTTCTACCTGAATAACTCTCTAGGATACAGAACACTAAAAATTACCAAAAATCTTATGGCTTTGTAAACGCAGACCTCATCTACAAAAGTTTTGATTCCGTCTCCTCCTTGCCAATTGCGCGTCCTTTTCATTCCACCTCCATACCTGTTGAAGGGACAATATTAATCCACTACTGCACAAACGAAGCGATCGCGTGTAAAATGGGTAAATCGCACAAATCGAAAAGGGACTTGTAAAATTGCAGTGATAATGCGGAAATCGCGCCCAAATTTCGTATTATGGTTGTGTTGTCTGCAATCGCGTACAAAACGCCGGCTTACGTGAATGGAACTGACTGTAATGAAGCGGGTAAAATGAGGGTCGCCTCTATAATCAGACCCGTCCGCACGGCGCGTGTCGCGCGCGCTGCCTTTGGCATGTTGCCATTCGTGGTTTTGACAGAGATTGCGAGCAGGAGACGAGGACGCGAAGTTGAAATTGTGTAGAAATGACTCGACTGTATAGTTACAGCTCGTGAGAATGCTAGGGAATGAAATGTTAAGGTTGGAAGTAGTGGCCACCAATGTAGTTTAATGGTTTTTCACAGACTTATAAAGCTTTCACATATTGAATATAAAGAAGCGCAATAAAAATGAAGAATGGGCATCGAAAAGCATTGGAATGATTCGGATACGCAAAAACACAGCGTGAAGTGGATGGCAACTTTCTTCGAAAGTTCTGTGAGCGGTCTTGCTTCTGAACATCCATTACATCATAATCACTCGATAAGAAGGACATGTTCTTTGCGAGACATCCTAATTTCGGTCAGCTATTTGACTAACTGGGACATCACGCTCAATCTTTGAAACTCGCTGATTCCCTCGAGAAAGTCTCAGCTAATGTGAATTCAGGGCAATAAACCGCACGACCTCACTTCCTGAATGTTCAAATTAATAGAACCAACGACTTCCAGTGGTTGTCAAAGTAGATGAATTTGGCAAAACCCATCATATTGGTGAAAATCGTCTCCCTGAATTGCATAGCACTTCGACAGAATGGCTTGATGAGACAGGTACCCTTAGGACGATCAAACGGTCATCCATGGTCGTGTTCGCTTTCTCTAGTGAGCGTACTTCAAGAAAACAAGTTAGGATTTCGGCCATCCTTGGCAACCGCCGGTGTAGGTTGCTCCTTATCGATATTGTGGTGCTCAGGGTTTTATTTCAGTCATCCAATTTCGAATCAAAGTTGGTCATTTTCAGTCCTAGAAATCCATGATGGGGATTTCTAGGAACATATTACAGGAGAAGAGCAGGTACCTTACTCTCATCTCCTATCGATGAATTCGCACTTGTAGGACGTATTAGGCTTCATGGACTACCCTATCAACAGCTATACTCCGCATCAGTGAGATTGCTTCTCAATAGCGCCCATAACTAGTGAAACCGGCAGCGTGTCAAAGGGGACCGCGCGCGACACGCGCCAGTTGCGGAACGCGGTCTGATTATAGAGGCGACCTTATGTTCGCTTCGGCACGCAACCGGATTGCCATTGGGGGGCATCGGCAGTAACTGACACCCTCAGTCCGCTGATGCGATGCGTGTCGTGTACAGGGCAACTCGTCCACGTTTGTTAATAACTTGATTAACTTGATCGGCTACTTGATCGACCTACGCTGGCACTGCGCCAACATAGACGACCGATTACGTAAGAGTCTTCCTACTTAACCATTTTCGTCGGTTTTTGAGCAATTTTTGCCCTCTTTTGCCCGACATTTCTTGATGCTGGGTAGCTACTTAGAAGTGGTTATATCGAGAGTACTTTTGAGCTCTGATCTATCCTACTTCAAAACAGCTTCCAGTTGTATTAGCTAGCTTCACAGTGGTGAAGTTCTTCAAAAATGCATCGCTTGAGGGTTGGCACAATTTTTTGGAATCTTTTAAAAAGGTTAGTTTACCCCTTGGGCACGCTCATTTTGGGGATAGAGCTGTAGCCAAATATACTGGTGACAAAAAATTTTGGCCAGCTGGGTGAAACAGTGAAGGGTAGACTGAAGTGTAGACAGCGATAGTTTGTTTCACAAATTTATGTCTACTAAAAAACTTACCGAAGTTACCACTCGAAGTACCATTCATTGTCTACTGATAGCTGCTTTGAAGTAAGATATATCAGAACTCAAAAGTGCTCCCGATATAACCACTTCTCAAGTAAGCTAAGCAGCATTAAGTAAGGGATGTCGAGGCGAAAGAGGGCAAAAAAAATCGCTCAAAAACGGACGAAAATGGTTGAGTAGGAGATTCGGACGCAATCGGTCGTCTATGTTGGCGCACTGCCAACGTAGGTGGATCAAGACGTCAACCAAGACATTAATAAACGTGGACGAGTTGTCCGACCCACGAAACGCGTCGCATCGGACAGGGTGGTGGGTGGCAATTACAGCCGATGCGCCCCAATGGCAATCCGGCCGCGCCGAACGACCGGCTCCCAATGGAAGCTTCTCGGAGGTTCATTTAGATACCACATTGGCTGACGCGCACTACTGCGCGCATGGTTCAGTCTGTGGTCCTGATCAATGACAGGATTTCTGTGCTGACCCCTAGCACTTGGCCTGATTCCCATGTTTCAAAATTCGGCCCATTTCATCATTTTTCCATATTTCTGCTCTTTAATGAGCAATTGCCAGTGTGCTTTTCTGATTTCTAAAAACACAGACCATTGGCTGGCAATAAAACGGCTTAGCGGTCGAAAGGTAACAATATCGAAATCATAGTGAAATACGCTCACATATACTCTTTATCCCTGAGACGAGGTAGGCGTGGCATTCGAACAAGGCACAGAACTGGTTACTCGTGGGATATTTCAATTTGAGACAACCGCCATCTTGTTCTTTGTTGGACAGAGACGTGACCACATTTGGGTCAAAATGAAAATATCTCTCCAAAAGCATAGCCACCACGACGAACTACACAGCCACGCCAACTTCATCTCAGGGATTTTCGAGTTTAACAACACTTCCGTTGAGCAGCTTTCACATATCCGTCTGCTGGTGGCCCTTATCATTCCCCACTGGCGAACACCTCTAAGCTTTTACTACCACTGCCTGCCACCCACCATCCTAGCCCCAGCCAATTTACTACTTGGATCCAACGCCCCGTCGTTGCTCTGGCCGGTGTTATGAATCAGGTGAACCACTCCTAAGGCTCCTTATATATTCTTTATCAAGCTGCTATCACTTCCTGCCACCAACTAATAGTGCTTTGCCGGACCCCTAATCCTATCAGTTGAGCGCTTTATCGCTATTTTGAATGCGGAACTTATGAATTTCGTCACACACACACACACACACACACACACACACACACACACACACACACACACACACACACACACACACACACACACACACACACACACACACACACACACACACACACACACCAACAGACAAACTTAGCGGATTATATATAGTAGGATAGCAGGACTGGGTTTCATTGCGGTCCACGCGGTGACATTATTTCGACTCGGACGGGAGGGGTCGTGTCAGGCAGCATGAGTTTGTGAAAAGTGCCAAACCGGTTCTCCACCAGCTATTAAAGCGAGCAAGTGACAGGACTGTATCACGTCGTTCGTATCACTCGTTACCCAACAACTGTTCAACAACTGGCAGAGAACGGGTTTTTACCGCGGCACTTTGCCTGACACGCTTTTAGACGACAGTTCGTAACCGTCGCCGCGTACACTCTTCCTGAGATGCGGTAGGTGTGGCTGCGTACTCAAGTTGAACGTGACGGCGGCCAAGGTTTTCGTGACATATTTTCATTTTGGAACAGTTGTAATCATGTCTTTGTCCAACATGGAACATGGTAACAGTTGTATCAAAGAAATATCTCACGAGTAACCGATCCTGTGCCACGTTCACATGCCACTCCCTCCTCCGTCTCAGGTATAAGAAGTGTCCTCCCTTTCCACAGGTTTACGGACGAATGGGATCTAATCCCTCAAAGGCAGTTGGCACGATAATTTCATGTACACTTTGAAAAAGAGCAAAGGTGCCCAGTAATGCAAAAATAGTGAAAAAACGGGGCGAAATGGTGGGGAAACCACGAAATGGGGCTTTATTTCTTAACATCTCTCATCCACCTCTCCCTCGTTCTACATCTCTCTACGCTACCGGATACATTACAGGTAGGCTCGGGCGGTCCATACACGAGGCAGGAGGTCCATAACGGCACGACCTCGTGGTGTGATGCTAGACGTACGATGGTAGGCGGGCGGAGCGAGGTGGGCGTCCGGTTCGGTATGTTGCTGCTCGATAGGGCGCTATAAGGGTACCCTCCTTGGAAAAGGCGCTACGCAGCGCCTGTTCACGGTCACGGAATTCTGTCATGCCAGTCGTATTAATCCTACTCGTCTTTAGGGATTTATCGTATCAACTGCCTTTAAGCCCTATTTTTTTCTCCAGTTTTCTCTCTTCTTGCAACCTCGGCATCTTAGTTGTAAGTCTTTCAGT